GACTAATGCCCGTTTGCAGGCCAGGTTCCGGGTCACTTAGTGCCAACAGGGCCAGCTGCTACTGGTGCAGCCCTGTCGAATGTGTTGAGATGAGATGTGACGTGAAAGGAGGGCGCTATTATAAACAAAAACAAATTAATCCTACAGTTACTCTACATTCACTTGTTATACTATATATTCACATGTAGTACTCTATATTCACATGTTGGACTAAAGAGCAGAGATCCTTGCATATTCCTACAATACCCTAATATCTCAAGTAACACTTTATCTCACGTTACAGTCCAACTGATATATTCGTTACATTATACATGCTGCACTATTTCTTCAATTAATTTTCCATGTCTACATATTTGAATGCCTAAATAGTATGCCCCGTACAGCATTGGTCAACTTATTCCTGGCCTTAGCCCAGTATCTGTGAATCCCTTAAGGTCAGTGCTCGTCACGAATTTTCAGGAGGGGGGGGGGTGTCACTCTCGCTGTTAAGACATCGTCAGTGTGAGCGTGCCGCCACACATTTGAAACCATTGGGGGTTTGACAGCAGCACGATCATGATGATGGGGGGGGGTGTTTTCAGGAGCCACAGACTAAAGGTCACCAGGGGCCACTGGTTGGCTCCGTGTGGGCCTTGCAGTGAAGAGCCACTTGCCTAGAGAGAGAGGCAGCAGACGTCCTCCTGTGGTTAGATTGAGGAGGTGCTACTCTGCCTCCAAAGAGTCTAACTAATCCTCTCCAGGTAAATAGGCCTTACAAGCCTTGGAAATTGACCTCGTGGTTAGTTAGCCAATCGAAATCCGGCACCGTTTCTGTCAATGGCCACGTGCTTTCTCACTTCCAAGGGCATCGAAAATCCACGTTTATTTTTGCTTTGAAGACAGACGAAACTTGATTTTTAAAAATGTAGTTCAAAGATAGATTTAAAAAACAGTTACCGCTTTCTGTCAGAAGAGGGAGATGCGTCCCCTTAAATGTTGAATCCTCATCCGCACTTGCTTTTAATCAGCCCAACAATCCACGTGGTAGATTTTAAACCCCCTTTAGCTACACCTGTACCGTATTCTGCCGAACTGCGTAATGCCATACCTGTCAACCCTTTATCAACACCTACCTTATTGGTCACCCCGTGCCCTTATAAATCTCAACGTTCATCCTACAAAGTCCCATCACAAGGGAGGAAAAAAAGTAAAAAATACGATTTTTTTTGCCCGTTTTGAAACGGCTGTACGCCGTATGAACCTGAAAACTCAATTTCCCTGTACAAGAACACGGGGTAAACCGTGTGGGTTGACAGGTACGGTAATGGGAATACCCCACGGTGTCTTGAATGCTCCCTGTTAAATGTCTCTCACCGAGCTAAATGAGAAAATATGTGAAAGCATTTTTTTTTATAAATGTTCACCCTTTGCCTAATGCAAGTCAACAATCTACCCAGGAGTATACCTGTGGACATTCCACGTTGGGCCAACATCAATCGACGTTGGACCCCAACGTTGAATGTCTGAATCTCTCAATTCGAGGGATATATAAACAACGCGCTTTTATTTGTGCCAGGCGATATTAATAGGCAGCTTCATAAACGAACAACTAATTAACGATGCTCCATTTTTTGACGATTCATCTCCTTTTGATTGCGTTGGGTTTGTGGCTTTAGCTATTTGCTGATCATTTCTACTCTTATGCAAAATACAACCCGTGCTAATAAACGCATGCCAATTTCTGTACGTGTACTGACATTTATTGCCGTCGGAGCGACATTTTAAACACTTTCTAATCTCCAGTTGAAAGCATTAATTACATATATTCATTGAAATCTATATTGAAAACTCATTTATTTAGAACGTGTTTTTGTGTTCAGGTTTGTTGGCCTTCCACCGCACCCCTCCAATTACCGCGGTTGGCTACGTACGGTGCAAAAGAAGTTCAACAAACCTAGATTTGAGGGTTGTGGTGTTAGTAACATGGAATGCACAGCCAGCTACCGCTCATGTCTTCTTAAAGTACCATATCATGGAGAGATTACAATGCTAATCACCCCTTTTTAAAGTTGTCGTCGGTATATTTTCACGACAGGAAGTGCCCATTCGTATATGTTGCGGTTTAAAGAATGGCTCGTGGAAGCATATATCACTGAGCCACCTCTGAGATCCATGAAAGTGACCTCTGTTTCACTCTGTAGGGGGCAGCTCTATTCCTCCTGCGCTGTCACTCAAGAGGAACGTGTGATGCTCGCTACGTGACAGTAACACTGACATTTAATCTGCGAGCTAGAGTTTAGCAAAATTAATTAATGGAAGAATTAAAGTTAATGCGATTCGTTCTTTTTTGTATGCAGATAGACTGAGACGATAAACTCCCTGCCCTTGAGAACCTGGTTTAACCTCAAGTACATGCCACCAGCCTGTATGTGAACTCCAGATCTCAGATGGCGCCAACTCTGCACTGACATCAAAAGCCACGCGCTCGACACTTCTTATTACAAATCACTGTTGCAACTATGTCGAAGACAAATAACGTAGAGTGGCTCCGCTTACAAAGGAGCAGATGCTTGAGGATAAGAAAAGCCTTTTAATTCACGCACGTTTGATGCCTGGTTACGTAATCGCATCGACACCAACTGTGTGGAACGCTGCCGCGGTCGATTCGGTTACCGCACCGGACTTGCGACTGATCCAGAGGTCGCCAATTCGATCTCAGTTGAAGCGAGTTTCTTGAATCCTCTGGGGTCTCCATCCACCCAAGTGGTAAACCATGGGCACACCGCAGTTAGTCAATCGACCGGGTTCCATGTGGTGGGGTAAAGTGGGGGTAATCTCACCTACGTTTAATACGTCTGGCCCGCGTGGAAGAGTAGGCCAAGTGCCCTCTATAGCAGCTCTATAGAGAGCTCCCTCTGGTGGAGGCTCGTCTGCTCAGCAGTGGCGTGACAAAAATTGGCAGTGCTGCGCCTTCATCTAATAACCGTGTAAATAACCAAACCCAATAACATATGTCATTGGAAGGTATTTGTACACGTTAACACTCCCCCATGCCTCTGGTCCTCGCACCTGATTGGCTCACAGGTGACGACATCACCTTTTATTGCTCCATTGAAGACCGAAACAGGAAGAGGATTTGTCCACGACTCTGTGGCCATCGCCTGATGATGCTGGTTCTTGTTGTTGTTGTAATTAGCGGCGAGACGTCACGGTACTTGAAATGTAAATGTTGTGGTGGGTTTACTCTCCCAACACACAACCGGTGTGTAGTGTGGCACATTACGAATGGATCACTCTTTTAATTATGTCCTTGTGCACCAAGTGAGTAAAGTGTGGTTCTGTGAAAGTCCTGATGTGCTGTGCAGTGCATCAATGCATGTGTGTACAGCAGCATGTGATGACTGAGTTGGGCCTGTAGGTGGCTGGCAGGGTTAATGATTAACCGCACGTGTAAACCAGCCACATGGTTAATGGCGACTCGGAATAAATGCGGTTGTAACACGTGCTGTTGCATTTTACAGGTAAAGGACCCAAAGGTTGTTTTGATCGTTATATAAATGTTCTAGACTTGTTCTAGACTTTAAGCTTGGCTTTGAATTGTTCGTTTGTGATATATGCAATTAGAGGCGGTTTAGCACTGTGCATTGTAAAGGGATGACGCACTGTAATTACCTACTGTCATTGTAAATCTCTAACCTATAATACTGTTTAGTCTATAACCATGCCCATGTACCCAGAATATGACTACTTGCAATGCTATTTAGAATAGAACACATGTAGTAAGCTGTACAATGGTGATATACAGTACGTATACTGTACACATACAGTAGATATAATGGGTGTAAGATACTGATATAAGTGGATGGTATAGACATACAGCTTAGGATTAAAGGAGTATTCGAATAGTGATGTGCAAATGTGATTGTCAAAGACAAAGATGGTTTATCAGTAGTAGAATTGGGTTTAAGAGAAAACTGTTAATGAATGACCGTGCGGATACACCAGCCACATGGTTAATGGCGACTCGGAAGAATTGCTGTGTGTGACACGTGCTGTTGCATTTTACAGAGTGACGGTGCTGTTCTTCACAAGATTGCTATTAACCAGAATAAATGTGCTTGCCCTCGATTTGGAGCACCTGCCCACGTCCTTCGAGTGTGCAACAACTTGAATTCTTCCATTAATTTTGCTAAACTCCAGCTCGCAGATTAAATGTCAGCGTTATTGTCACGTAGCGAGCATTACACGGTACTCTTGAGTGACAGCGCAGGAGGGATGGAGCTGCCCCCTACTGAGTGAAACAGAGGTCACTTTCAGGGATCTCAGAAGTGGCTCAGTGATATATGCTTCCACGAGCCATTCTTTAAACCGCAACATATACGAATGGGCACTTCCTGTAGTGAAAATATATCGACGACAACTTAAAAAAGCGGTGATTAGCATTGTAATCTCTATATGATATGGTACTTTAAGAAGACATTAGCGGTAGCTGGCTGTGCATTCCATGTTATTAACATCACATCTATGTTTGTTGAACTAGCCAACCGTGGTAATCGGAGGGGTGCGGTGGAAGGCCAACAAAACTGAATGCAAAAACACGTTCTAAATGAGTTTTCAACATAGATTTCAATGAACATATGCAATTAATGCTTTCAACCAGAGATTAGAAAGTGTTGGAAATGTCGTTCCGACGGCAATAAATGTCAGTACACGTACAGAAATTGGCATGCGTTTTATTATTAGCACGGGTTGTATTTTGCATAAGAGTAGAAATGATCAGCAAATAGCTAAAGCCACAAACCCCACGCAATCAAAAGGAGATGAATCGTCTAAAAATGGAACATCGTTAATTAGTTGTTCGCTTATGAAGCCGCCTATTAATATCGCCTGGGCCTAATCCTATACCTGACCCTCTTGCTAACCTAACCTCTGAGACCTAGCCCAATCCCCTTTGTCAAGTTTTGTTCGTTTTAATTTTTTCTTCACTTTAGGTGTTCATGGAGAGCTTTGCAGGTGGCGTATTAACGGTAGTAGATGAGGACGGCGGATTCCAGCAGCTTCTTTGATGCGCTCCATTCCACACCTGTCCCGTAGCCGTTCCAGTCGAAGGCACCAAAGTCACCGCACTGCCTCGGGTTTCCCTGAGGCACGTAGCCCGCGCCGCCTATACAGAACTGCACACACACATATTTCGAGACGTAGGCTTTCGTGGCCAACACACGAGGCAGGAATTTACGTGACAAAACCTCAATAATTAGCTGTATCGGGTGGTGGCGGGTTTAACGACACATTTATATTTATGTGAACTAACCCGAAAAAAACCTATTATGGATAATATTGGTCGCAAAAGCCTCCGACGTGTTTAAAATGAGGTAGTGAGCTTGGAAATCGAGTGCCGCTTCATCAAACTTTCCCATTTCCTTGCAATATGTTATTTATCTCAAAGAACTGAATGATCTTCAATGAGCTTCTGTTTCAATGGATATTTTTTTACGATGGTAATTATATCGAATATGTCTTCAAATGAGTATTTTTCAAAGGTCTAGACATGGATGCTTTGTCTGCTTCATGCTCGTGTTTTGTATTTATCAAATCACATTTTTACAATGTTCTTGTCTTTCGCACCGTACAATGCTAGCCGTGCCAATAATCGAGAAAAAAAACATTCAAAAGATGAGATATAGCGATGAGAGAATGTGATGCGAGAAAGTTATGCAATAAAGAAATGCGAGAGAAAGTTTATTCATGTATTCATGTAAAAGATAGGTTTTCGTAGGGCTCTATCATTATCTGCGAAATATCCTATTCTTGAGCATCTCTAGAATGTAGCCCTCGCGAGGGGATGCTGTATTGCACTGCACTGCCCTATGCTGCCCAGTATAGCTCCGTGGCAGATGTATGGCACTGCAGAACGCTACTTACGGTCTCAGGATTGCAGTTGCTCACGATCTTAATCCCTGAGCAGATGGCAAATGGGGCTTTCTCGTTGTTGAACACTCTCAGTTGCACAAACCCTGGAGTTGTTCCACCTGTGGAAACATACGTCTCAACGAAATTAATTTAAAACTATTTGCTGTAATGTTATAAAGTGTACTGTGATAAGAAAAAACATTGGTCATCTGGCATGAACTCCATCAGCTCTGATCACGTTTTTTAAATACTCACAAAAAGAAAGATCACCCGTGTAGCCTTAGCACATTGTTGAGGCAAGTGCTGTTAGTGAGCACCTATGAAGGCCAGCACAGCACACGAGGGGGTAGGTGGCCGACACCACACCCGGCCGCATTTGTTTCTCCAGTGGCGATGTTTACACACCGCACCAGGTACTCATTTGAGCCTGAGTCGACCCAGGGGAGGCCCAGGAGCGGTTCAGATAATCGTCACTGGTGGGCGGGGACACCCCATGTGCATTCCATCCTAGGATCCCCATGCGCAATGCATGAAAAGCAAAAAGCAAAACCAGAACCAGGGCAACCAACCAAACTAAAGGGGGAAGGCTACTTTAAAGAGATGGGGTTTCAAAGTAGGCTTAAATATATCTAACGACTCTGATTTCCTGATTTCGAGTGGCAGGCCGTTCCATAGCTTGGGTGTCACGCTAACAAAAGCACCGATCGCTAAAAGAGCGCAACCTAGACCTGGGAGTGCTGAGTAGTTGAAGATCAGAAGTTCCCAAGGACCTTGATGGAATATATGAATGTATTAGTTCCTGCAAGTAATGCGGGGTGAGCGCTTTTAAAGACGTAGAAGTTAATAGCAGTATCTTAAAATCTACTGGGAATTTGACTGGTCGTCAATGAACGGATAAGAGGACTGCTGTAATGTGCTCATTGAATGGTGTACGTGTGTAGTGACATAAGAAGGGAGGGGCTGCTGGGGGCTCTGGGTCCCTGGGAGGGCCAGGCGCTTAATCCCCTTGGCGCCAGGCGTGGGTTCTCAGGCGGGTCAGACGCTTAAGCCTCTTGGCGTCAGGCGTTGGGTTCCCAGGCGCTTAATCCCCTTGGCGCCGCCAATGGGGGGGGCTGTGTGTGCTCTGTGGGAGATCTGGGGGCGCACACGGCCCCACCCCTCGTTGGGGACTAGTTATAAAAGCGGAGCTCCCTGGACGATCAGGGCCAGTCGTAGCTCAAGACCCAAGACCCAAGACCAGCCATCTGAGGACCCTGGACGATGTGAGAGCCAGTGGTGGGACTCTGGAACTCCCGATTCGATGACCTTATGAGGCGAGTTCCAGAGCGTAGCCAGAGTAGAGTATCAGGACTGTTGGAGTGTTGTATTGTAATAAAGGAGTTACCTCTACAAGTGTCTCCGGAACCCGTTACACGTGTAAGCACTCTAGCAGCTGCATTCTGAACAAGCTGGAGTCTGCCCAGTACTTTGCTCAGTATCCCAGGCAGTGAGGCGTTGCAGTAGTCGAGTCGGGATGACACAAAAGCATGGACCAGTCTCTCCAAGTCGGCAAGTGACAGGATTGATGCATTTTGACAATATTTCTTAGGTATAAAAAGGACATTTAACCACCTTTTAGATAGATGTGCCTCAATGGATAACGACTGGTCAAACTGAACACCAAGGTTGCTGACCTCCCGTGAGGGACTGCCATCGTGACCATCAATCAACAAACGAGGCGAACCAACTTTAGGAAGATGCAGAGGGGAGTCGATGAATACGGCTTCGCTCTTGTCGGCATTTCGTTGCAAAAATGTTTGGCGCAACCAAATAGTGGGCGGGCCAACACCATGTCGGGGCATGGCTGCCAGATAAGAGGAGTTTCAGTGGACGATGATCGTGTAAATCCCACCTCGTAGCAGATAAAATACCAATGATAGACGGTACTTACTTATACAGTTAGGGCAGATGAGAGAATTGATGACTCCATCACTTCCATAGTCATAAACAATGGGATAGGCAGGCCCGTTATTGGTGGGACAGCTTCCGGAATTGTAGGTTAATGGGAAGAAATTCTGACAAAACAAAGGAGAATGCCATCAAAGTTTAAAAGCAACACAGTAGTTACTTAAAAACAACATAACACATCGCTGCACCAATTAATTTGTTTAAGTGTTTTATCACCTCCGATATTAGCACGTTTGGCTACGTACAGTGCGAAATAAGTTCAACATACATACCGTGTATGCTTATTACTTTTGTAAAATCACCGCTAAATTAAGGCCTCCGCACAGCTTGTGGGTCACGGTAGTTTATAGGCCATATATCAACACTTTGGACGGTGCAGATTGGTGGAGGAAGTAGGGAGCATTCACGTGGAAGCGTAGAAGTATGTAACAACATATTGCTTCACTGTTATTTGCTGTCCTGCGGCGCTATGACAACCTGTTCATACTGGTCACCGGGGATACATTTAATCCAGAGCTGTCTGGGGCCGAACTCCAGAACATGTTTCCATGAAATTAAGCATTTCTCATCACCCATTCAAGCACTATGCAGGTCAACCTTGATTATTAAACTATGTCTTTATTTTACCAGGTAAGGCCCACTGAGCTAAATTGCTCTTTTTCAGAAGCGACCTGGCCACAAATGATAGCTCAATGAAGTGGCTTATCGTAGCCAAATACTGTTGATTCGCATGTTGATTCACTATCATGCAATGTGTATGTTTGTTGAACTTCTTTCACACTGTACGTAGCCAACTGTGCTAATCGATATCTAACAAGATCGGATGCCTTGTGGGTTTTCTTAGTCATATGCTTTTAACATTCCATCCTCACTACAATTTTTCGATCACACTTTCAACCTCACGGAGCACAACCATTGGCGGCCTGTCCATACAGGCGAACTAGGCGACCACCAAGTTAAATGGGGGGCGCCAAATTCGAGAGGAAAAAATGCTTATAAAATAACAAAGATGTAATTGTTCCATATCCCATGTGCAAACCGTGGGAATGTATTGGCTCGACGGATGGACGGACAAACTGAATAATTATGCCTCTGTTTAAAAAAAAATACGCTTAAGAAAATAATAAACGGAAAATAATGTAACCAGTTTAGCAAAAAACCCCAGCCTGGATCTCCCCTCGGGGTGTGGGGGTGGGGCGCCCCAATAGCATGGTTCACCCTAAGGCGCCATTTGCTGGCAGCTAGTCTAGAGCTGCCCATGATCCCAACGACAAGTCAAGCAAAATAATTTACCTTGAAAAAGGAGTAAAGGTTCCCTCCAAAGGCACCCAGAAACTTCGACTCCGTGTGGTAGCGGAAGAGCGACGACGCCTTCCACAAAGGGAGAGGAGTCCCATTGGGAACATGCCACACTGCTATGTCATTTGCCTCCAGATCGTAATATCCTGGATTCTGAATAAATGAAACACACACGCAGCACAACTGCAATGAACCACTTAACGGAGCGGACATGAGTATTTACGAATGAACATTTTCTTTGCCTGTTTCAGCACATTCACTTAAAATAATCAAGCGATATATATTTTTTTTATAGGCAAACCTTTCAAGCCATTGTATGTTTTATGTACGTGTCGTGTAATAACGCGGGATGCTGACGGGAAGTGGTACTGGCAGCAGGGGGTAAACACGTCAGCAGCCTCTGTGTGAGTGCTGCTGAGGGCAAGCCTCTGTGTGAGAGCCGCTGTGTGCGGAGCCTTGAGTGCGGAGCTGCCGAGAGCAAGAGCTGTTGTGTGCAGGCTAGCGAGGTGTAACGTAGACAAGAGTGGGAATTGGTTAACAGGAGTGACTGTAGCAACAGTGATAGGATTGCCTGCAACTGGTGCAAGAATAGGCTAATAAAGTGTAAGCAGGTGACCTGTTACAACGTGTCAGTCTGAGTGATTTACAAGACACTACACTACTATAGACTAGCTGCCAAGACATGTGTCTCTGGTTCCTTCCAAAAAGTGGTTGGGTTGAAATCTTCACGTCTACAAAGTAACTTGCAGCGCCACACCCATCACCATCCTTAAGGGAACGAACGGCGATCCTACCTCCGACTCCCAAGAACAGGTTCACAGGTCTGACAGCATTTGTCAGGTTTTGGGGGAGGGAAACCCCTTCAACTCATAACATGATGGGGCAAGGTGGGGTTGCATAACGCTTTATGGAAGCTACCTAGTTTTTTCGCTCAACACACAGTTTCAGGTATTCTTGGCCAGTCATGCCGTCCCTTCTGGATGCTTGCCAAATGTGAACCCCCCTAATTGAACATCTGCGTTGGTTAGAAACATTTCAAACTGGCCTGCCTATGATCCATCCTGGGTTTAACCAGGCTGGATTGTGTGAGGAGCTCACAAATCATTGAAAGATCTGGACCCAGTCCCCATCTGAGCTCCTCCGGTGGGCAAGGCTCCAATGGCTGGGTCATGTAGCCCGCATGCTCAAGCCCCTGCATTTGTACGGGTCCAAATTGTGGAATGCCATTTTTGTTGAAGACAAACCTTGTAGTCGTCATCAGTCGCCGACTCGGGCACACCAAACGTGTTGAGGTTTGCCCAGTTTTTATCCCCGTCTACGAATGGAACTTCAGAATTGCTGCCCTGCTGACTGGTCCAGCGGTCTCCCGTGGCGCACTTGGCCGCGATGTTGTTCTCGTGAACGCTGGCGACCAGGGTCCAGCCTCCTCCGTTGGTGTTCATGTCGCAGAACGCCTGGTAGGACTGCCCGCTCTTCGTCTGCAGCAAGTATAACCCATCTTTCGTGAGCAAAGGGAATAGCAACAAATGGGTTACTAGCAGTCGCCGCCCGCTTCGCGGGCGGTGTGTATGTGCTTGGTTGGTGGGGAGTTGAAAGTGGCTGGACACAATATACATATTTTGGTGATTGTTTTATGTTTATTTTTGTGAGGTTTTATTCATTTTTATGAGACGCTCAATCGACAATATTAAAGAATGCAACTTATTCAAATATATTGAATGCAACTTATTGAAAAATCTGGCGAAACACGATATTCTCCGTGTACACTCCGTCTTCCTCCTCGTCGTCAGGTCCCTCAATAAGCGCCTTGATGTTGGATCTTGCCGTGACTCGCGATAGTGCCACGTACAGTTGGCCGTGCGAGAAGCATGGCGTTGGTAGATATAATCCCAGGTTGTGAACAGTTTGCCCTTGCGCCTTGTTGATGGTCATCGCGAAGGCTGTGACAATGGGGAACTGCTTGCGCCGAAGTCGAAATGGGAAGTCCTTCGTGTCCAATTCGCGGCGGATATGGTTGTTCTCAAGCAGCGAGTCCAAGATCAAGTGTGGGTACTCGGAAAGCTGCGGGAGGTCGTCAAAGTCCGACAGAGCCATCCCACCTGCCGTGAGGAACTCGTGGAGGCTGTGAAGGGTCTTGAACTTTACCATTTCTTTTATTTTCTTTGATGCTGCTAATCCTGCATAATGCACGGGCATAAGTAGTACTAATCACATACCTGCATTTCCCATAAATATGCTAAATTCCTCTTGATATGCAAATTATTTTGTCAAGGCGCCCTTTCCCCCCTTCCAACCCAGCTTATATATATGCTCCAAGCACGTGTGCTGTTTCATTCAGACGCTGTCGCCTCGACAGACCTGGTTTTCACCTGAGGACGGCTGCTTGCGTTGTGGCCAAAACGTCGTGAGAATTATTTTATTATGTTTTTTATTTTTATTTTTTACTTCCCTTCTACGTGACTTTACCGAAAGAACCAAGAAGATTTACCATTTCTTCTTTGTTGGTCAGCTGGCGGTACTGGTACTCGTAATCGCGAGCCAATTCGTCGTAGAATTTATCCCAGAGAGCCTTCGTATCTGCTGGCATGGAATACAGCAGAATCGTAGCGAAGAGTTGACGAAGCTGGTACGGCATCTGAAAGAGCGAGGCTTCTTCCAGACACGCAACCCATTCGCGATCGCTCTCAAGGTAGCCTGCTCGCATGGCTGCTTCCAGCGGTTTGTTTTGTTTTATTTTATTCGTAACGCACCATCCATATGCGCTCCACCATCCACCATGCCCTTGCATCGCAAAGACACAGCTCCGGTGTGCGTCAGCGTGTGCGCCATCCACAGTGACATTGGTCAGCAATTGCACCGTTCCGATCGCACACAGGTTGGCCCCTGCATCCTCCGTCTGTATGTACACACACAGACAGATCCGCTATGGGGCCACCTATTTTTTCTTATATTAAAATGTATTTTGTTGGTGTTTTTACGTTTACGTATTCCCATTGTGGGTGTTTTACGCATGCATCAGATTTTTGGGTTCCTCACATATGGTATCAGAGGTGTGGGTCACTCCATTTCTCAATCGAACAATAACGGGGATCGTTTCAGTTATGACAGCTTGCAGATAGAAACATTGCATGATCGTATACTAATAATGACAGAATTTGTACCCCAGTGGAGGGCATCCCCCACCCGGCGCTTCTTACCGGTACTGTGAGACTTAGAAATCCAGACCTCTCCTCCTCCTGAACCGTTCACAATACCCTGTGGTAGTACCATAATCATCTCAATAAAGCGATCACTTTCCAATGCCCATTTTGATCCCGGGAGTTACCCGGGTGGTGTCACACTGTACTCATTGTTTTAGCATGTCGCAAATTCCGATATGGCTTGTGCAACGGCCAGAGAGTGACAGGGGGCCGGGCTGCAACCTTTTTAGACAGTTTATTACATTTCAAAGTGCATGGGATTGGCACTCCAAAACATGATAAATGTACAGTAACGCCAACTGCATCCGTGGCAAACATGATACGCGGACACATGCTGCATATTATGCAACACATGCCCTTACCAGCAGCAGCATGCACAACATCTCAATTACACAACGAAGTAGACAGCAAGCCGTCCATGGAGACGTGATCAACGTCAATACATAATAATGGTAATAAGCCGGATAGTACCCATTGTACCCATCAAACAGTCAGCTGGGTTGCCCCATGGGGGTATTGACCCATGGGCGAAACTGTAGGGTGCGCTACGCAACTGGCCGTGGTCCCGGCAGGTGAAGCTGCCAGCTCAGTCCGCTAAGACTTACTGTATAGCGACCCCTGCCTACTCGTAAGGTAAAGTTGTTTGGGGACTCCACTAATCGCAGCACGCAGCACCCATTTTTTACATAAATAAACGTAATATTAGCGTAACTACCATTCGCACACTTGCATACACACCACACTCACACAGCGCAGGGTCTGCGCCCACAGTGCACTGCAGCACTGCGGCGCAGACCTTGCCAAACCTATGCTATCGCTCTCTTCCGGGCGTGTTAATTATTTATTTTTATCGAATCAAAGTGAGCTGTGGCTTTTTGCCGGCTGTTTTATTTTCATCGAATCAGAGCGAGCTGTTTGGGCGGGTCCGTAAATAAATTAACGTCCAGATACGCACGCAGACGACCAAACCAGCGTAGTTGTTTAAGATGTGTGGATGTGGAACAAACGTGGGTTTCTCAGTGTACTATCTTTCCATTGACAGCACTTGTGATACCCAAACCAATTATGTAGGTAAATATGTATTTTGGTACAGCGTGCAGGGCTGTGAGGTTGAGAGAGGGGCCAACTGCAGGTGGTATTGGTCAATTAGGTGCTCAGAGATATGGCTGGGTCACTTGGCTTGTGTGTGTTTTGTTACTGGGTGAAAGGGGGTGCATCACGTGGTAGGAATCGTGGGCATGGTTTTGTAGCATCACAGCCATGAACAGACCCCACCTACATCCCCTAGCGTGCCCTGCAATCCACCAACATCCCAGATGAGGGGTCGGGGAGCCAAGGGAGGGCTGAGGCGGTAGGGGGCGAGCGGCAGGAAGAGGGGACGTGACAGTTGGTGGTTGGACAATGGGCGTCAGTGTTGAGGCTTGACCAGGAGTCGGCAACCGTTCAAGGTATAAGAAGGAGAATTATTTGTTTTTTACTTTGACCAAAATAGTTCGAGAGCCGCATCACACGCAGAGCAACTTTCACACAACCACAGCAAATGACAAATTATTAATTCTAGATTTGAAGCTTTCGTGACTGCAAGGATTCATATTTTTAGGTTTTTTTCGGTAAAGTCACGTAGGTAAAAACATTAAAATTTATAAAAGTAAATAAAATAAAAATCACGACGTTTCGGAGGCAACACAAGCCTCCGTCTTCAGGTGGAACCGTCACAGCCACGACAGCTGTATCAAGTAAATGAGAGATTGCAGGAGCTACCACTCCGTTTATATAATGGTTGGAGAGGGGGGAAGGGCCAAGTACAGCACACTTTTTATTCATATGGTAGGGTGAGGCTAAAGAGGGTGAGCCTTTGTTATGGTTTGTGACAACTAAACATGGTGAACATGGTAAACATGAAGCAGAAGACAGCATTGTGTGAAGAATCTAACCTCACCTCTCTCTGATTTTGTCTTCTCTTTGATTTCAAGGCATGAGTGTGGCGGCTCCTCGGACCATTTTTTTTGTGAAATCCCACTGCAATCCTCTGCTGAGAAGCACACTGCTGTCCTCACAACACCGGCACCTGGAAGCACAAGGCATCAGCAGCACCCAGATTCAAACCCCACAAGCAAAGCACATCATGATTCTGTTGGCGATCCCAACTCGGTGATAAAAATGTCAGACTTCATTCGTAATTAATATCTTATTATTATTAAGGGTTGAACAAACTGAACTTCATTCAAATTTGTCGTCCTTCCCTCACACCTGATTATCACGGTTACGTACGAACGGTGCAAAATAAGTGTAACATACATGTGCACGTTACTGTGTAACCGGGTAAAATTAAATGTACAAATATGCAAATGATGTACTTGCACGTTGTATCGTTTATATCAATTTAGTAAACTTAAATAAAAAGTAACTCACATAAAAGTGCCGTGGAAATGCTCAGAAACAGCGGCAATTTGAACAGCCCCATGGATTAGCAGCGAAACCACGCAACTCACTATAACTCTACAGTGATCAGAAGCCTGTAAATAAACGCAAACCGCTCAGGTAACAAAACCCCCAACGCAACTTGCGAAGATTTACTGTGAGCACTAGAGTTAGAACAGAATCGGTTATTAGTTTAAGTCACCAGCCCTGCAGACTACAGCAGGAGTTGTCAGCTCTGTGAGCGTTGGGCAGACACTTATAGTTGAATGCCTGCTTGCAGCAACCAATCAGGAAAGTGTATTGTGGCAGGAAATAGGGGACATGGAAATATGTTCGGGGTCAGCCTAGTTGAATATCCCATACTACTCCTAACAATGTCCTCAGCTATAAAGAAGAAATTAACATTAAAACACACAAAGCTATATTATGCAAATCCACTTTACAATGACAATTGACTCCTTGAATGCTTATGTTTTAAGTACTGCATTTCTCAGAAACTTTGCCAAATAAAGCTTTACCATTATTTAACGATTGATAACATATATATTTATAATCAATAAAATTTCGTCGAACCCTCAAACAAAACACAAGTGGAATACGTTGGGAGAATTGACGACAGTGAGACGAACAAAATGAATGTGGAGTGGGGATCGAGAGAAGGCAAATGATGATGAAGACGCGGGTAAGGAAGATGGCGAGAAAAAATCAGATAAATCAGAGACCACCTACTCGGAAGGAAGGAAATGGGAGACAATGGGCTTGTTTTTGTCCAACAGTGGAAAGTTACATTTTCTGAATGTGAGTGAAACTTTTACCCAATATCTTATCGCCTGACTCGGCACAAACGACGCCTGCCTGTAAAGTATAACTGAAATAAAACCCTGTTGAAATGTTAAGTCTATTCCACTGTTTGTGCCAAACATGAAAGTTGTTCCAATGGTAAAATTGTGCACGCATTATTGCAGATATATTTACAGTGCAATAAGTTAAAAACGCAACTTGAAGCTTAGAAACCCGAAAAAAACACATTTTTGCGTTAACCATTAAAAATAGAAACGAATTGGAATGTATTTGACATGTTCAGGTTCAATCTTGATTTGAAGCTTTCGTGACTGCAGAAATCCATACTTTGGTTCTTTCGGTAAAGTCACGTAGGTAAAAAATAAAATAAATCACGACGTTTCGGGCGACACAAGCGTCCGTCATCAGGTGGGAAAGCATGGCCTGCTGGTGCGATCTGCCATTAACATGCTAATCTCTCAAATTAACATAGCCACCTCCTCACCTCGTCGTGGACGTCACCCTCCGATCTTACATTAACATGATAATTTCTCACATTAATATCACTAGCCCCGCCCACTTCGTTTATGACCCTTGGGCTACACTAATTTTAAACCTTTAAAACAGCCTGCCTCAGCAGCTTTCCGCATTTTTTTTTATTCCTGACGACGAACATCTGTGTTGCGATCGAAACATCGTTTTTTGTAAATTTTTTGTCATTTTCTTTTAACCTATCTATGTGACTTTACCGAAATACACTTTAGTTAAACATACAAATAGGACCACAATGGCCGGGGAGCTGGACCATTTTTTTATGAAAGCGTGAATTGTCATGCGAGGGGAGTTTGTGTAGAAATTGCAGCTCATTAGGCTTCGTAGATCCGAAGATATTAAGCCTCAACGATTCCAAAGAATATAAACGGACAACACGGCAAGTTCAATAAAAGGGTGTGAAAAAGGGCACCTCCACGAGATTCTGTATGGTCTGCTGAAAGCTGAGCAGCATAACCGTCATCGATACTTTTCCCGTCCCACACATCGACCAAGATGCGTTTTAACTGCCTGGTGGTGGGTCAAAGTCCTTCTTCACACTTTACCCTAACAACGCGCCAATTATAATCAAATCCTGGAAGTCAGAATCAAGTTGAAATTACTTCCTGAATGACTTCCAAGAAGCTAGAATGACTTCCCGGATTTTATTCTCACCTGGAATTTTACATCGTTTCGAACAAAATGGCCCTCATCCAATTGCCTAATTTGATTGTGAGAACTGGTCTTAAAACTATCCAGTGAGATGCATTGAACGCTTGTGGAAGTGACAATTTAGTTTTCGGCTATGACAGGTTTGCAAAGGGCCTTTTGTAATGCAAGTCTTACCATTATTTATTGCGTAGCCTAACCCAACAAAATGAAATTCGTCAGCGTAGTAGATGAGTACGGATGCCTCCAAAAACTGCTTGGAGGCGCTCCAACTAATCTGCGTCCCGTAGCCGTCCCAGTCGAAGGCGGAGAAGTCGCCGCACTGTCTCGGAGACTGCTCCGGAACGTATCCCGCGCCGCCGATGCAGTACTGCAGAGAGACAAGCACGGGTTAGAGTTCTCAGCTGCAGCACAGTTACACATCGACATGGCTGAGAAATTGCACCCCCGGCCCCCGCCACCACCTGTTCCCATTCCCAGACTTACAGGCGCCACCTTGTCCCTGACAACAACTGGCCAATCACTGCCCTGCATCCCATAATTGCCTAACGGGCCGTCTCCGTCCAGCCGTTGTCCCCCAGCAACACCAGCATGTCCTGATATGACCCCACTGTCCCCAACCCGCACGTGTTTACAATTACCCCCTTAAACCATTACAAATGTATTAATTCATATTTACTGTACCTACAACAGCCTGTCGTTAACAGGAGAATGGTCGTAAGTAAACACATTGGGCTCTATGGAGGCACTACACTACTCTATGCACTACACTACTATACACTCCACTACTATACACTACACATTGGGCTGTATGGATACCCATCGTTAAGTGATTAGTCGTTAACAGGGTGGTCGTTAAGAAGGGTATTTTCTCAGTGGATCACCCCCGTTCATCCCAAGACCCCCTAACCACTCCCCATTCTAACAACGACCATTACTGTTCTTCCTTCACATTCTCTCTCCATGGCGACCACTCATTTCCCATCCATCCAATCCTTTCATCGTCATTTGCTCTGGTATAAAACAAGGTTTTACTTAATTCACGCATCACCGTCCGCCCATCACTTCCTCTCGTCTATTGTATTCACCTCATCGTCACCATTACGTTCATACATACCGTTTTTGATGCTCCGTAGATGTGTAGTGACATAAAAAGGGAGGGGCTGCTGGAGGCCTGGACCCTGGGCGGGCCAGGCGCTTAAGCCTCTTGGCGCCAGGCGTGGGTTCCCAGGCGGGTCAGACGCTTAAGCCTCTTGGCGTCAGGCGTTGGGTTCCCAGGCGCTTAATCCCCTTGGCGCCGCCAAAGGGGGGGGCTGTGTGTGCTCTGTGGGATATCTGGGGCACACACGGCCCCACCCCTCATTAGGGACTAGGCATAAAAGGGGAGCTACCTGGACGATCAGGGCAGTCGTAGCTCAAGACCCAAGACATCTCAGGACCCTGGGACGCTGCGAGAGCCAATGGTGGGACTCTGGAACTCCCGACTCTACGACCTTGTGAGGGCGAGTTCCAGAGCATAGCCAGAGTAGTGTATCTAGGCTGTGTACCTAGGCTGTGTACCTAGGCTGTAACAGAGTATCAGGACTGTTGAGAGTAGTTGGACAGTTGGACTGTTGGAGTGTTGGAGAGTTGGAGTGTTGAATAGTAATATAGAAGTTACCTCTACAAGTGTCTCCGGAACCCGTTACATTTGGCGTCAGAAGTGGCTATGGAGACAAGAAGTAAGCCACGTACCTTCAGTCCTGACGGCGATGAAGAGGAGCAAGCAGCGATGGGCGACGCGACGCTGCAACCGCCGGCCGACAGCGACGCTGCACCGCCGGCCGACAGCGACGCTGCACCGCCGGCCGACAACAACGCCGCACCGCCGGCTGAGCAGCTGTCTGCTCCGCCGACCGTCCCCTCTCCAGCGTCGGGAGCAGGATGGAGGAGGCGCTGCTTCGCCTCGCAGAGCTGCTCTGCGCCACCGCCTCCCTCCTGGGCGAGATGCGGTGCTCGCGGCGATGGCGGGAGGGAGAAGGAGGCGCGGCGCTCGCCCGAGCCCGCCGCCGCCATTCCCACCGGCGTTCCCCCACGGATGTGGGAGATGCTTCCGGGTGTGTCGTCACTTCTGCCGGGGAGCAATGACCGCTGGGAGCAACGTCACTTCCGGGCCCAGCGTCGTCCAACCAAACAACGCCGCGTCATCAGCGCTGCGACCTTCACTGCCGGACGACAGCTGGCTTCAACCTAGCATACCGCGTCATCAGCGCTGCGACCGGACAGTGAGGGCGCCATTCTTACTGTAACCGGCGCCGGGGCCGGCACATCGACCGACACGCTGGTCGCCGCCTTTGCTGCTCTGGCCAAAGGTTGGAGGTCGGGAGACCAGGCCCCTGACACTTCGTCATTTACGCGCTCCGGATTAATGATTTTTTTGTTGACATTTTCTTCGTTGTCGTCGGGGAGTCGTGATTGTTGTTGGGTAAACTGTGTGGAGCTTCGCTCGTGAGTGTTGTCAATGTGTGTGCGAAACTTTGCTTGTGATTGTTAACAATGTATGGTTTGTATTGAGCTTTGTTCGTGATTGTTAATGTATAGCTTGTGCTGTCATTGTTAACGATGTATATACTGTATGGGGCATTTATCTTGAGATGGTGACATGCTGCCAAGGATTTGGAATTGTCATGCTGGCTCTCAAATATCTTGGGGTGCAGATCCTGACCAGGATGGCCCAGCGGGTGTTGCGTGTCTAACACGAGAGTTGTGGTCCCGTCATGCTATGGCTGACGGCTTGACCTGACAGCCCGGAGATAGAGACACTCCGTGGCATGTCTAGCCTAGTGGGCTGTGTGCTCACATGGCTCGGAGAGTGTGGTCCCGTCATGCTATGGCTGACGGCTTGACCTGACAGCCCGGAGATTGAAACACTCCGTGGCATGTCTAGCCTAGTGGGCTGTGCGCTCACATGGCTCGGAGAGTGTGGTCCCGTCATGGAATAGCTGACGGCTTGACCTGACGGCCCGGAGGTTGAGACCCTCCGTGGTGCGTCTGGAGCAGTAGGCTCGCCCTGACGGCCCGGAG